AAATTATAGAAATTTCAAACAGGATTTGTGTTGTAAATTAACTAACAAGTATTATACATACATCATAGGCAACTTCTTTATCTTAAATACCTTTTTATAATTATATATTTATTTTATTTTATCAGAGATTTTTATGAACTCAAAGATTTCCCTATTCAATGTTTACTTACAAGATGTTCTGTGGGTAAAAAAAAAAATATTTATTTTACATCAACCTCTGTAAAAGATATTGTAAAGAATAATCAAGACCGCGTAAAGGTAAGCGATATAATTATTATTTATTTCATTACCTATTTGATTGAAATAAAATGTTGTATCTAATCTTTTTTTTTCGAAAAAACCTAAATTTAATTTTAAATCTAACAAAGTAGTTGATAGAATTAAGCAATATGTTTGTGCCCATATATATTTATAGCAGTTGATTAAGGTAATCACATACCAGAAAAATTTTCATTATTTTGTTCATTGTGGACTTTTTTTATTGATCAATATGGTTTGTTATTTGGTCTATATAAAAATAATAAAATTAATTTGTTTTATACTAATATCTAATTATAACAAAATTTGGAGTTATGATTTTTACTACTACAATTTTTTGTATGAATATTTTATAATATATATTAGAACTAACTGTTGTATGTACATTTATATTTTTATTTTGTAGATTATTAATACTGGTGTAAAAACATTTGTTCGTTGTGATAATAAATCAATGGAATGTAACTTTAGGCTTGCTCAAGAAGTAATTAAACATATTTAATATTTTATTTTTAGTTTATTTTTTATGTACTATAAAATTATTTTATTATTCAAATTGTATAAAAAAAAATTAGGGTTTGGCTGGAATATCTTCCTATATAGGAAAAAAGAGGCGGTTACAATTAACACTTACTGATTTGATAACTGTACTGAAAAATCCAACAATTCAAGTTACATCATTAGACCAGGCCACAAAAGACATACTAGAAAATTTTGGTAATCAATTATTTACAATAATTCAATTATTAGTAGTATAACTTTATTGAATTATTTATTCATTTTTAATAGGTATTGGTAGTTGTGTTCTGAACATGGTAGACAAAGATTTTTCAGTTGAGCTGGTTGGTTGGAAAGGATTTTCAACTCTGAAAGCTTATATAAATGGCGAATGTAGATTACACTATTTGAGATTACTCGGAGTTGATGTCTCAGAATTTGGTAATAAACTACTTATTGCTTATTAAATTTTATTTATACAATGAAATAAAAGTTAATTAGATATTAATAATATTATTCATTTCCACCAATGTTAATTATCATTATCGTAAGAAAAACTCTAGTTACAGAATGGGTATTTATTAATAAAATGTTTTTGTGTAATCTTAGGTATTAAAACTTTAAAATATAACTGCTATGGCTATAAATTAACATTAATAATATTGAGATTAGTTCAAATATAGTAGCCATATAAAATAATAACATCACTAATTGTTAAAAGGCAACTTTTTTTATTAATTAAATCAAAAATAATAGTAATATTTACCTCACTGATAGATATTGCGTTTAAAATGGTATAACTGATAATTTATTATTTAGTAATTTAGTACAATTTATCTTTTTACCTACCACAAATACAACATGATTCTGCAGAAAAAAAACTTATGAAAGAAAATTAAAATAAATTGAATAAAAGTTTTTTTATACATAATTTTTAAAATATGTTTTACATGATATACGATATACAGGTATAATTAAGTATCTATATAATTATAATTTAAGTTTATAAGCATAAATTATAACTAATTGTTAGTGAAAGTATAATTTATATTTTTTATTTAATTTAATTATTTTATTTAATGTATATAAAAACATAAAACATTTAGAAAAATAATATTTAATATGCTAATTATGTAATTTTAAATTTTGTACTTTTATACAAGACAAAATAAAATAATATAGTTTCCTGTTTTATTTTTTACATCAACTTAATTAAAGTATTCAAAAAAATAAATATTGAATAGTATTTAATGGTCATAATCAAAAATAAAAATAAAATCTAGTGAAAAATGTATTCAAACTAAAATCTTTTGAAAATTAACTATATTATATAGAATTATAAGTTAAATTTAATAATTGTACTATTTTAGATGTGAATAAATTTAAAAAAGAAAATAACGAAGATGGATCAGAAGACAAAAGCGAAATTGACATAGGTAAATTTTTTTTTATGCATTTTAATTTATTAATTGTTTTAATATTTCTTCGCTAAATACACATGGTTAATGGCTTGGATTAGAAAATGTTTTACACTTAAATAAAAACTATGAGTGATTAAAATTTGTTTAGTTATTGTTTTAGATAATTTGTGTATGTTTGATTTAAACAATAGATACAAAATATAATTGTAAAATTATGAGAATTGAATTGAATTTATTGATTTTATTTTTCAGATGGAGCTCCAGGAGTTCAAGTTAATGAAGAATTAATACAGAGTGAAAATTTAAATAAAGAAAAACAATAATATGATTTTGTAAATATTGTTTTTAATATTTTAATAATTTTTGTCTAATAACTATTATTTCAATAAAACTTTACAAAGATAAAATGCAAATAGTTAATTTAATTTCTTCATTTACAACTAAAAAAATTATCATGTGTTATTAAAATAGTCTTATTTTGTCTTTATACTCGCATGTATTGTCTTCATGTTGCTAAAACATTATATAGCAAATTTGACGTTGAGATTAATCTGTTTTATTGTGTTATTTTTAATATTAAAGTGAATTTTTTTTATTATTAAATTTAAATGCATGAGTATTTTTAGATTTTGAATTCTTCTGAATATTAAATGTTTTAATTTATGTGTTAAGTAAAACAAAGACAACACATTTATGTATTCTGCACTACTAACATAAATCCTAGATTGACAGATTCAAATATCTAAAATACTATTATAAACTGAAATTCTTAAATGTTAAAAGACAAATGCTATGCGATTGTAGTGTATATACTATAATAGTATTACTTAACAGTTCAATTTCTTATTAATAATACATTTAAGATATAATTATTAATTATGTCAAACAACAATCTTTAATCTTTTAATAAGTCAATAACCGTATAAAATAACTCACAATCTTTAAAATAATGTTGATATGTTAAATCGACTATAATTTATCTGAATGTATGCCACTAATATAGGCTTACTTTGAAGAAATGGTATATACAAAAAGTGAAGTATTTTACATGATAAAACTAAGTAACGCAATCTCACTGGTATAAATTGTTATTTAAGAATTAAAATAGTTATTTAACCCATAATAAAAATGGTCACTAAGTTTCTTATTTAAGATAAAAGACAATTCATTTTGTATATTATACTTGTCTTATAGGTTCTAAAACTACTTTGCCCACATTTAATGAAAATTCTATAGATTACTTTTAGAGTAATGTTTGATACATTCAATTGTTGATGCTGAATAAACCTCATTTCACATAGTTTTGTAAATAAACTATTGTCATATAATAAGAATGCTTTGTAGAGTTGTTGCTGATATCAGTTTTTTGTAAATGAAAATATAAAATATAAATCATAAATTAATTTTGTACATAAATTGAAATTTTATTCCAAAACAATCAACAATAAGAAACAGCTAAAATTACATAACCTCATGAGTATTAGATTTTGTGTTAACATTGTAAAATATACTTTTTATAAAAAATAAATATTTGCAATGTATTTTAATACTTATTACATAACAACTCATTAAAGTATTTAATATACAGCAGTTTGCATAGATGTTTACAAAAGTTTAGTATAGAAAATCTTATTTCTATTGAATATTTATAGAAGTAATTATATTTCTTATTTTTTAAAATATTTTCTAATAACAATATGACATGCAAATAAGTTTTAATTAAAGAAAGAAAAGAAACTATGATTAACTCATGATTAAAATTTATAAAGATAATACATATATGACAATTCATTTAGCATGAACCACTCATTATTTCAAGAACCAACATTTTTAAAAAAAATTTATATTTTATCGATATCAATTTTTTCTTTTTCACTTTTTTGAATATCAATACACATTTTTAATTTCATATCCTGAAGCAAAATATTATTTGAAATATTTAAATACATAAAAATCGAAATGTAGATGAGTAGTTTTTAACTTGTGTAGAGTGATATGGGCATACCCCACAAAATGTCAGTCTAGTATTCCACTTACAAAAACTTATAAATGTAATAATTCATAAACTAATCGTCCAGATTTCGATCTTATATATCAAAATAATCCAACAAATAAATTGCATTAGAATATGAAATTAAAATTATATGTTGCCATTCAGAAATGGTAAAATAATTAAAAACTAACTATAAAAATATAATTATTTTTTTTATTTTTACTGTAAGTTATATGAATGAAATATTTTCAAAAATGTTGATGGTTTTTAAAATAATGAGTGTATTATAATAAAGAATCATCATGTATGATTAAAAACTTACAAATTTTTCGCTATTTAAATAAGTCAATAGAATATAACTAAAAATATATAACAAATAGCAATAAACTTAAACAAAGTTAATCAAGAATTATCATTTTTTTTTTCATAACCAAATTTAATTTAATAGCATATATTAAAATGTATACATTTCAGTTTATTGAATATATCTTCTATTCTACTTATGAACTTAATGATTCGTTAATAATAATATTTTTGGCAAAATATCCAATATTATAACCTTTATATTGAATAATTACAAAATGTATACAGCATTTTTCAGTTATTACAACTAAACTTGGGATAGCAAATATGATACCCAAATAAACATAACAAAAAATAATATTTCAACTTATTACATCATGTTTTTTTTAATTAAATATAAAATAAGAAATATATGTACTTAATAAATAACAAAATTTAAAAAAATATTTACATAGGCACACAAATCAAAAATTAATGCGATAAAAAAAAGAATCTTTTTTTTTTTAACACAAATTTCTGACCATACATAAAATTAATCAGTCCACATAATATAATCTTTGGATTTATTTGATTATTTTAATTAACAACTATATTTCATTAATAGTATCCAATTTTTCACGTTTGCTCTTTGGCACCAAGTATTGATCAATTAAACTTCTAGGGGATAAAGTACTTTTTTTTCGTTTTTTACTTGAAGTTGGTGTAACCGCTTCAGGAATTCGATTAGGAGCCACAAGTGTAGAATGTGTGGGTGTGATTTCAAGCTGAGATGATATAGATGATGGAGATGTTGCCTTTGTACTAAATAATGCATCCCATGGTTTTTTAGGAGTCACATTTAAATGTTCTTCATTTGGAACAAAGTTTTTCTTTTCAATATCCCAATTGTTCATTGTTTCCTCTAATATTTAGAAAAATTGAAATATTAATAGTAAAGGCTTTTATTTCTCTAAAAATTAATTTTTAAATAAATGATAGAAACCATGTTCTACAAATGATAAGTTTATATCAAAAGAAATAAAGAAACAAAATATAACATATAATCGTCAGCAGAACAGTAGAAGAGAATTATTACCTTAAATTACATCCTTGATAATTATAGTTTCAATAAGGTTAAACAATTCATATACTTAGGAAAAATTTTAATAGAACTAAATTTAGTAGCCAAGGAAGTATTAGAAATAATATGTGGTTATTATGAATATTATGGTCATTATCAAATTAAAAAACTAATAAAAGATCACTTAGAAGTGTTCAGTAATCCTATATGCAGCAGAAACATAGCAAAGCTAATAAGAAAATTTTCAATATTAAAGAAAATATTACAAAAATACTACTAAAAATGGAGGATGAAACTAGTGGATAACAGAGAAAATGCAAAGGTAGAGGTATTATTCCAAAGCACAAGTATGATAAAGATGAAAAATGAGAAGATTATAATAGGGAGAACATGCTTAAAAAGTGAAAATATGCTTATAAATGCAGTAATAAAGAGTCTATGTGGAAAAAACCTTTGATAAGACCCAAAATAAGATAAAAAGAAATGTAATAAAAGATTATGAAATCAATTGGTAAAAGCTCAAATTTAATTAAAAAGAAAAAGTAAAAATAGGAGAAATATGTGGGATTGTGATTGAATCAGGATAGTTCTTATTGACTAAAGTCTAGAAAATGAAGCAATATTTACAATAAACATGTACAACGATATATTTATAAAATCGATTTTGATTATGAAATAGGATAGAAAATTAAATAATTTAATAAATAATTTTTTTTAAATGTACATACCAGTTTCTTTTTTATATTTTTCTTTAAGTTCAGTTTTGAATTTGATCGGAATAGTAGATATTTTTGTTGACAAAGTTTTTGGTGGATACCATTTAGTTTGATGAAATGAAGTGTCTACAGAATTTCTTTCTTCTTCAGTAAGTATTGACCATACTATAGGCATTGAATCACTACTTGTAACAAACTTAAAAAATAAAAATACATATTAATATTTAGATAATTATTACTGAAATAGATCAACATTTTACTTAAATTAGAAACTATCATAAAATTTAATAAAATCAGTGTAAAAAAGTTCCTTAGATCAAAAAATAAATATTTAAACTGAAATGACATATGAATTATCTCAAAATTATTTTTAAAATTAACAATTTTATTACCAAATGCACAACTTTACCTATTTTACCAATAAAAATCACATTTTTATTTCAATTTATTAAAATAAATATAATATAACCATTAATATTTTAATCTTTGTTCATGCTAATTAATATTTTAAGAAATTAGTATATAATTAAATTGTATTTAATGGCATAAATTACTTAATTTTGAAATAGATTTCTTTGTTATATTAATTAGTAATAATAACTCATAATAAATACATGTTATCTAGTAAAATTGTATGATAAATATATTTTACTTCATAATATTGGTTATCATAATTCTCCAGTATTTTTAAGTAATTTATAACTACTATATATTATCATATAAATAATAAACTAGATAGTTGTACACCTTTAATAATATATTCATTATTTTAAAATTTGTTAGATCACATATTAAAAATAAAAATCACAATAAAATTCAATTTCTTTTTAAACTAAAAAATACATTATCAAATACTAACGAATAATATTACAAATAAAAATAAAAATAAATAAAAGAAAACTTACTTTAATACTTGTTAGATCTGCACACCAATCTGAAGCACTCAATTCTTTTTTCAAAAATGAATTACTACAATTTATTTGAAACATTGGATGATCATCATATGGAAAATCTGTCAAATATATCATGCCTATATAGTCCATACAACCACTAAACAAATAACGACCGTCATGACTTATACTAATTTTAGAGTATCCAGTTTCATGGCAATGACCAAAATATGTACATATTGGTTCTGAAAAATAATAATACAAATATAAGATACATTACTAGGATAATATTAATAACATAATGAAAAGCAACTAAGATAAAGAAAATATAATTGTACTAAGCTAAATTAGTTAAATTAATAAAAAATGTATGAATAATAATAATAATAATATTAAAGTAAGCAAAAAATGATATTACAAATTTCTTCTAATAAAAGGAAAATATATTTTTTTAGTTTATAGAATGATAACGTTTTATTATGATAAATTCAACTGTTCGCTCAAACTAAATTTATATATATATCAGACAGATAAAACACTTTTACATTCTCAATATTGTAATTATTAATAATCTAAAAGCATCAAAAATTTAAAATAAATAAGTTATATGCATACTTGTTTCTTCAGAATCCAATAAATAACTATAAATACCGTTATTTATACAACTTGCATACATCAAATTAGATTGGGGACTTGATACTATATCTGAATAACCATTAAATCGTGGAGAATTTTTCATTCCATTGGAATATTTTTTAAGTGGTAATGGTTCTATATTACCATTTACTTGGCGATAAGTTTTACGTAAATCCCATAATTTTATAGTACTAAAAAAAATATTTCATTGAATAAATTATAATTTATTTTGTATTCATATTTGTTAGTTTATTAAAATATAATAAATAAACACTAACTAATCTAAAGAAGAACAGGATATAACAGTTTGATCGGTTTTAAATATCAAAGAAGATATTCCATAAATTTTACTTGGTTTTTTAGATTTTGATTCATAAGTGCCTAAAATATAGTAAAGTAAAAATTATTACATTTTTTTCAATATATTTTTTTTTTTTTGTTTAAATCAGTGTATTTTAATGTAGATCATTAAAAGAATAAAAAAAAAATCACTTAATTAAATATTTAATACCAAAAAAACAGTATAACTAATAATTATATTTACCATGTGTATTAGGTATAGTATGTTCAAATTCCAAAACTCTTCTACCGTTATTTATGCGAGCATCCCAGATTTTTATTGAACTATCTTGACCTCCACCACAAAATACATCTATAGATAACAATAATTAATAAAAATTTACAATTTTATAATAAATCTTTATTCATTACATCGTTTTAAACTCATGCAGAATATTTTTTTTTAGCTAAAAAATAAATCCTTAAAAAGTTAAAAGTGAATAAAAATACTATAGTACTATAAGAGAAAAAATATTATTTAAATTTATATAGAACTTAAAAAAAATATTGAAGAAAACATAAAATCAATTATTATAGTCAAATTATAGGATAACCATTGAAGTAACTTGTATTTTTATATTCGTTTAAACTATTAAAATGACATCATCTTAATTATTTTTTTATACTATTATTTATCATTTGTTTAGAAATATAAAAGATCAATAAGTAGTCACATGACTAAATTATGCAGATGAATATAAAAATATTTATTACAGTATGTAATTTTAAAAATAATAAAACATTTAAAAGTGATAAAATTGTATCTTGATTAGTAATATAAATGTAATTTTTTCATACCTGAAGATCCAGGGCAAAACATTACACTTTTAACAGATGAATGATAAATAAATTCTCTTTCTTCATCTAAGACTCCTGATGGACTTAAATTAAATAATTTGGTTGATTGGTCTCCGCAGGCTGTTATTAATTTCATTTGTGGCTCAGCCCATGCAAAGTTAAAAATAGCATTGTCATGTACAACATCTATTTTTGAAAATTACAATAAATACAATGGTAAAAGAAATTTTAATGTTAAGATTTGTGTTATAAGCATAATGTTGTTCAATAACAAAATTATTATTATACCAATAATATCAAACACAACAATTCTTGGGTACAATTAATATAATTTAAATGAATATAAATGCAATTTACTCGCTTGTTTTCCATTTTTTTTTTTTTTTTTTTTTTAATTGTATGTTTAGTTAAAAAACTATAAATAATTTATAATTAATTAACTACAAATTATTTTTTGTTAAAATATAACATCAGGGTATTTTAAAAATTGTTTAGCAAAAATTAAGTTGAGAATATTATGAATAGGTACATATTAATTTTAAAAATCTGAGATGGCTCCAAAATTATTTTTTAATTGGCTTCCAAATTAAAAAATGAACAACAATTTTCTAACACTTTCAGGTATAGGTAAAACTACGGTCAGCATAATTAAAATATAAAAAAATATACTAATATTTACAACATATATTAAATAATTATACAAAAAAACAAAGCCAAAGTATTAATTGTATATATATAGGGGTAGGTTTTTTTTTATAACATTAAAAAATATACTAATTTGAATTACTAATAATTTTTATTGAAAGAGAAGAGCAACTTTAAAATATTTTGACCTATCCTTTTACAAATGCCTAGTTTTGTCAATGCTTTTAGGTCCAATGCTTAACAATACAATTTGAAAAGAAAATTTTAAATTAAGCGTGGTCACTAAACTGCATTTATTCCAAAAATTCATGGCTAAATTATTAATAAAAATAATTTTAAATTTAGACTTCAATATAATTAAAACCTTGAAAAATTAAATAGGTAAGTAGGTAATTAATTATTGAACTTACTCCTTTGAAATTGTATATTTTGGTCATTATAATGTCCAATAGTATTTTGAACAATTATTTCTCCATGTTCAGTTGAACAACCAACTATATGTAAATTGTTTTTATTCCTGCTGAACTTACAAGCAAAAGTATTCCCAATATCAATATTTGTATTGCAGAAGTCATCATTTGCTACAGGCTTATAACCAATTTTATCAATAAATGTGTCATTCAATTTACTTTTAAATCCTTAAAACAAATTAATAATAAAATAATAAATTCAATTTAAAAGTAATAATTTTTATATTAGAACAAAAATATACTAATATCCAAGGATGAAGGAAATTGTTAAGTTAACAATAGGATTCTATAGTTGAGTTAATTGAAGTAATCATTTTTTAATCTAGTTTAACAATTTCTACATAGAACACATACAGTACTTAAGAAATTAATTTTTATAAATTTCACAGTAAAACAAAAAAATATGAAAAAAGAAAAATACAAACTAGTATTTGTGTTTAACAAAAACATAATAATTTAGAAATTAATCAACATTTTCAGCAACATATGCATCCCGAAATTTTTTTTTTTTTATTGCAAATTATTATTATTTACTAATTAAATATTTAAATGATATTTGTTCACATAACTCACTTACCTCATATGTCTTATTCTTAAATCTCACAGTTTTATTAATAAAATTAATTTACATTAATATAATAATTTTATCTTTATACTCTATTAGAATTATCAGTGTTATTAATGAAATGTTGTTTTATATTTATACAAATTAAAAATTATTACACCTAAATTAATAAAATTTAAAACAAGAAAAAAAAATCCTCAAAAATATATATTATTAAAGATTGAACAGTATTTCTACTCAGAAATTTAGACATCAACTGTGCAAAAAAGGACACATGAATTAAGAAATGGGATAGCTAAACTTACCGGCATAGCCAAGTTGTCTTTTCTCTAAATAATTGAGTATATTATTCGATTTCATGATTCCACGAATGAATCCTGAGTTAATTAAAACCAGGAAACAATGATCAGCAATAAACACGATTTTTCGATACTATGGTAGTGATATTATTTAACATTCACGAGTATCAAAAACTGAAATTATCGTTGATGAAATTGCTACATAATTATACTGCTAATTAAGAATAAGTACTTAATTGCAATAAATTATCTTACACAGACAATTAGACGAAGAACAACGTTTTCATTATTTACAGAACCGATAAGATTAATAATGAGTCGAAAATTCGAAATGCCAAATGAATCATATTTTGTAATTGATTAAGCCACATCTGTTGTACTTTTTCAGTAAAATTCCCGCTCTTTTTAGAACCATAACCTATTTGTTGTAATGGTAATAACAACAAAAATTATATTATCACAAATTGAGTGAAATTGTGATTATGTGTTATCTAATGATCATCTTTGTAGCTAGTAAAATAATAAATAATAATACTACTTAATAGTTAATACTTATTGTTACTTAGTACTTACTACTTACTAGATAAATTTATAGTTAATACAATCTAGCGTGTATTAAGTCTTTATATTTGTGAGTTTTATTAAGTAGGAACATACTACATTTAAACCCAACTAAGACAGTGAACTAAATGAAGTACATATGTGCTGCTATGTGCCCGGATATTGTTACGTAGACAGAAAACACATTCCAGAATGTAAAGTGGGAGAGTAAAGTACAACAACACTTCATATAATTATGGATAGGCCTGGTGTGTCCTGTACTTACCATTATACGTCAATGGTATAAATCGTTTCTTATATTTCTTTATTATAAAATGCATTTCATTTAGGAATAGTTCAATTGATTAGGTCCAAGTAACCTTGAAGTAGTTATAACCAGATAAATTTGGTTGAATAATCTAAAGGATTTACGTATGGGAGATACGTCGTTCTGACACAATAAAGATAATAGATCACTGTATGTTTACATGAACCCAGAAACGCAAAAACTGTGGGAACACGATGACGTGCATATCTTGACTAGAATGGATATGATTTAAAATAGTGTTTAGGTATTGACGTAATAACTAAAATACAATGGGAAATTTGAATAAAAATGTTTAAAACCTTGTTATTTTCAATTAATAAATTTTATATACTATAAATGTTAAAATAGTTATATTTGTTGAAATCTTAATTAAAAATTTGTTTTTTAAAGTACTAAAATCACATAAAATACTATTATAGTATTATATTATTTAAAATAATTTTTTTTTGTTGCATTTCATAAATTTAACTTACTTAAGTAAAAATTATTAAAAAAATTTCCGTTCATAAAAATATTAAATTTCTTATAATATTTTAAATATAAAGAAAAATAATTATTTAAAAACATTTAAAATAACAAATGTATAAAAATTTGACTGATCTGTTAAAACATGGAGTTTGAACTGGTTTAAAATATTCTATATCATATTACCATTTACCGGCTTAAGTTATTGTTGTCATGTAACAATGTAAGTTATTATTATTTTAACTTATTAACTACGTTGTATAGGGCACAAGCACATATCAAAAATATTCATCAAAAAAGACAAAGTCATCTGTATACTTATTTTTCTGTAAGAAATACTAAAAATGTATAATGCCCACAAAAAATTGAGCAATGTAAACAAAGCCCTGCTACTGTATCATTTGTAATTTGTATCATAATGTTCAGACAATGTAATTAAATTTACTTTGATAGTAACATATATTATGCTTAACTAAAATAAAAATAAAAAATTTACAATAATTTCAATATTTAATGAACTACAAATTAATCTCAAAAAAACGTTTTTATTTAATTATGAATTATAATAATAGTCTTAAGAAAATTGAAATTTTTTTTAAATGTTTATGTTGTTTATAAATTAAAATTGTTAAATAATTATGAGTTTTATATATTACACTTAATATAAATTAATACCTGAAGTATTATTTTAGATTTAAGTTTATCCATTCATCTTTTTTTTTTTTTTTATTCAAACAAATTAGGACAAAAAAATAATTAGATATAACAAAGAAATTTGTATCTAAAAATTCTTTTTTTCACAAATTTTTGGATTCAGCTGATTCATTTACTTTAATTATTTGTTTTTAAATCATATATTTGTACTCATCTACAATTTATATCATCTAATGAAATTCAATAAACAAAAAAATCAGATTTTTGATGTTTTTAAATTAAATGTGATAACCAAATTCCACGTAAAATTGGACTTTGAATAAAACAGAATACATATTCTTTTTTAATTTTAATTTTGACCTATTTATAATAATACATTAGCTCAATAATATGCAAAACTAGTACTAAGAGTTTTCATTAAACAATACAATTAATAATGAAGTTAATCATTGTTTATAAGTTATAGCATGTAAATAACTACAAAATAAATTAAACAAATTTCAATTATTAAATACTGAAATTATTTTTTTTTAAATAATTTCAAATGGCTATAATAATACATTGAAGATTCAAAATATTTAAAAAATTATACATATAGGTAAATATTTGGTGAAAATATCAAGTATCAACGGTTATTTATTTTTGAGTTATTCTAAAAGTGCTACTACTTTTACTTTTGATCCAAGAAGTTTAAAATTGGACACTAATATAGGCCCGGGGCCTACTAATTTTAGGGGACATCTTTATCACCAATATAATTATATATTTTTATAAAAATGTTCTTAATTTAATACTACGAAAAATTACTAAATTATAATAAATATTAAATTGTTTTTCTTTTTAACAAATACAGTGTTTATAAATAATTAATATGTGAATAATAAATGATTAAATAATTATTTATATATATATTGTGCTGACAAAATTCTACAATAATATACAGTTTTTAAAATGTAGTGATACAATTCTTTTGAAATTAAAGTTGAAAGGTCCCATCAAGTTTATGGTGTTCTGGGGCCCAATCGATCCTTAATTCGGATTTGTCAATACCTCATACTCAATAATAAATAATAATATAATAAAGACATTATGGTTTATTATACTCAGTGTAAGGTTTATTGACTTATTGTGCACAGTCTTAGAATAATTCTGTGAATTTGTAATCTAGTGATAAGCAATACAATTAATAAATGATAACTGTTGTCACCGTTGTTATCTATGCCTTGTGGGCTATAGTATACGTCTTCGAAAAAATAAATTTATTAACTGACACTGTTTTTATGTTACTTTGAACTATTAAAACTTAATATTAATTTTTTTTCTTTTGACTATTTTGTTGTTAAAAATTGAATAGTCTATGAAATGGCTTCACCAAATATTTCTGATATATCCAATACACTAACAATATTAGAAGATGGTGAGTTAAAATAAATGACATATCTATTTAATAAATTTCAACATTACCTACAAAATATTTTAGATTAGTTAAATAAATGTTATTGAATTTTTGGTATCTAATATATTTTAAACATTTTTTTTTTTTTTATCGGGATATTCTATTTTATTACACAAAGTCACTTATTCAATAGAATCAGAATAAAGTTAAATTTTCCTTGCTTTCTTTGAAATTTTTTATATATTTGTATTTTAGTTTATTTTTAGAAATGTATAAAAATTGATCCATTTTAAAAGTAATAGTCAGATACACTCATTATATAACAATAGTCAATAACTATACAATTTTTTGAGGAATTATTGAGTATTGCCACAAATTCATATAATTATTATGTGATTGTAAATATGCAATCATTTACCGATGACAAGTTTTTAGAATCAAATATTTTTATAATTATTTATAATTATAAATTTATTTATAATTTACTAGTTCATAATCAGATTTATAATTTAAGATCTATAATTATTGAACTAATGTTAGCATTTAAATAATACATTATTTATTTTTTAGATTATCTTTCCCAATTTATACCTATTAATACTGAAGATAAATGTAAGAATATTGTTGTACAGCTTACTGCAGAAGAGCAGCTGAAAAAATTAAATAAAGGTAAAAAAAAATGATAGCTTGTTTATTATATATATTTTTTAAATTTTGTTGTTAGGTAATCAATTGTAAAATCTATCCAATAAATTACATTTTAGGTTTAGAATATGTTGACCAACTTATATGTGAACAAACTTATAATAACCATGAAGAATTATTTAATCAAGTGACTTGGACTGAAAACTTAGAATCTATTATAAATGAAATATCATCACAAATCCAGGTAAATATATAATTACTTCATGATTTAAAAATATTAAGTTGCAATATGTTTTATACTAGAGTTGGGTTACATTATATAATATATATCAATATCAGTGCAATTTTTGTTTTCCCTCTCTAGTCTGCATACAATATAGATAAAACGTATTCACAAAAATCTCTTTTTATACTTTTTAAGTGGTCATAGATTAATATTGGCAATATTGCCCATTATAAAAATTATAGAGAACAATATTTTTAAAGATTTGAAAATTAGTATATTAATTTGTTTATCTATATGCCATTTATGATATCTTTATGATTCTCCACTTATTCTATCTCAAGTGGTTCTTAGTCATTATAAAATTACATTTTACATTATATCTAAATTATATTTTTGGTATTTTAAGTATTTCTATTTTTTTTTAAATTTCTTCTATCATATATCAATTTGTATTCTATAAATACTAAACATAGGTTTTTATCAAATTCATAATATTCATAATAAACCTAACCTATCTCAAAATATTGACGTGGTCAATGGTTGAATTATTTTTTCATAAACTGCATTGATAACTTCTGATATCTTAGGCATGTGTATTTATTCTTTTTAATATTACTGTCATTAAGAATTTATAGCTATGTTTAATAGAAAAATACCTCTATAGTTCTCTGCCTTATCATTTTTAAGGCCATTTATTTCCCAGTCAATTTCTCTTGTAAAGGTCCCTCAATTTCCACTTCTACTGAGTGGTATTCAAGTTTCTCATTCTCAGTATTATAGAGTAATGCATTTAGTAGCTTTACGAAGAAATCTTTAAATTAATTTATTATTTGTATCATGTTGTTATTAGAGTTTTATTTTTATTTATCAATATCTTTATTTGTAGTTTATGATTTCTTTTAATGGTACCATTTAATAAATAAATTATGTTGACATTTTTTTTTTTATTGTATCTATTTATTTATTGTATACCATAGGCATACTTACAAGCTGTGGCTTTCATGTACATGCACAACTTGTTCAATTTGACAAAACACATGAAAATGTGATGTCAATTATATTGTGATTCTTTTTAAATATTAATAGTTTTTTTTTAATTTTGTTTTCAAACTCATGTCAGTATAGTTTCATATTCATATATAAAGCATGAATATGACCTGTAAAAAAGTATTTTTGTATATTTTGTTTCTTGAAAAAAAAATTTCAATTCAATAATTTCCTTTTCAAATGTTGTTTACAAATTATCTGTTAAATACAGTAGATGAAAATTAAAAATTCAATATTTTTTATTCAGATCAATTAATTTAAAATTTCTATCAAAAAAAAAAATGCCATTTTAAATTTTAATCTGCTTATCTTTATACATATCATTTTATTTTTATTTAATAGTTATAAAAAGAAATGTTTTATTATTAATTTAATCCTTATTAAAAAGTATAATGTTACCACCAGATTCATCATTAAAAAAAAATTATTTTTTTGTTTATTATTATTTCCTATCAAAAACTTTTTTTTTTACATGAAAAATCTTAACTTATTAGTTTAACACTTTTTGAAGTTTTGTTAGATATTTTTAAGACGAGTCTAAAATAATTATTTTAATGAAGTTAAATTTAAATGACTATTTTATTGGAATTTAATTTTGCATTATGTTTAATAACACATTCATTTTCTTTAATTAAAATCAGTAGAAGAATAGATAACAATTTAAAACTATAAGAACTTCAACAGTTATTCTTAATTGAGTTGAATACTGTATTCTGTAATAACCAACAAGTTAACTGTATGTTTTTTGAAAGTGCGTATTATTGGGGATATTATTATTGTCAATCATTTTTGCTAAAGATATTTAAGATGAATACAAAATATATTTTTAAACATATTAATAAGAAAATAGGTAAATTTTTAATTTGGTGGCTTAAAGTACCTAAATTCCGGCTATAATTATTTTCTTTGAAGTAAAAAAAAATGAATTGTCCAATAATATTTAAACCAAAAACAAAATTTTATTTTGTTAAGTAATATTCATGTATTATACAAATGAAGTAATATGCTTGTTTATTGTATTTTTTAGAACTTACAATCATCAATTGAACTACTTAAATGTAAAATTGTAGATTTATTCGTTAAAGTTCAAACTCAAGTTATCATACTAAATAGATTACATGGTATTTGTGATTTATTAAGGAAAATTATGAGGACACAAAGTTTAACATTGCAAGCACTAGACAAAGAAAATGTTATGTCATCTCATTTGATATTAGAAATTAGTATGTATAAATTCAATTTATTTAATATATTAATTAATGGTTTTTATTTTTTTTTTTATTATTATTATTATTTACTTTAAAAATATTATAAACACATTCAATGAAAAAAAGAGTTTAGATATGTGTGTAGAGTATAAGGGTAGGTTTATAAACCATAATAAAAAAGTATTGAATGTAGCATGCTTAATGAATTACTTTATATTTTAACTTACTTTTACAAAATACCTAATTATATCTAATTTTAATTATTCACAAAAATTAATTTAAAATTTTAATTTTAATTGATAAATAATAATTTTGGTAAAAGTTCTATGAGAATGACTATTTTTAAATTAAGAGAGGCTGATATTTTGAAAGTTGTATAACAAATATAATGTCATTATATTATAATATTCTTAAACATAACCACATTGTCCAAAAAAGTAGAGTGGGCTTCAAAACATTCTAAGCCTCTTCTTTTTCTAATTACGCTTGAGTCAAGTTATTTTTATGACTATTGACTGTTCTGATCCAATATCGTGACTTGTAATTATTATTTATTATACATTTGATTGGTATTTTTTTTATAATATTAGCTTTGTAATTATTTTGATTATTATTTTTTTTTTTTTTTTAATAATAATTATGAAATACAAAATGACTACATTACATTTCATAGTTTATTTTTTTATCAATATGCGTCAAATTAAAATTTGTGACTTTAATTTAAGAATTAGAATTAACCCTAACCTAACCTTACTTGTTTTAAATAACTTTATTATAGTTAAAGTACTAATTATAGTATGCTTTGGTTAGAGTATTTACTTAATTATTTATATTTATTAACACAATAGTACATTTGTATTCTTTTTTTTTTTTTTGCAGAAGAATTAATTGAAGATAAAGATTTAAAAGAAATAACATTTTTAAGCAAAGATTTAATTAAATTAAAAAATTTTTGTGAAAAAAAAAATGTTAATGGATTGAAATGACATAGTTTTGTTATTATTCATTTATATACTTTATGGTTGATCTTAAGTCTTATCTTATGGTATTGTAAATATATTTTATAATTTATAACATTATTTTATTGAAAATTATATAGTAATATCTTTTATGTTTCTGTTGTCAGATTATATAATATGTATATTATATATGCTATATTATTATAATATTTATTAAAATGTAGATTGTCTATATGTTAAATAATATAATTATTCTATTAATATATGCAATTTGTATTTATTTGTTTTGAAATGCTTCTGTCTAGAATTTTTATCACAAGTAGTTGGTTACCTACTTTATTTAATAAGTTATAAACATTTAAAACTATATAAAAGATTTATTAGCGTAGATATAGTAATAAAGAAAATTAGTATTTATGAAGTTAGATTATTAGGCAGTTTGCATCAATTGCATAATACATATAGTCTGGTCCACAAAATATAGTAACATTTATGAAATGATTTATGTATCTATCAATGTTTTGTTCTTTATTACCATTAAATGTGTCAACATTTATTAAAGTCCCATCAATATATCCAGCTATGTAAAAAAATCCTTATTTTTCTAAACATGTTGTCGCAATGATATGGCCTTATACGTCTACTTTACAGAATCATTAATAGATATATGTTTTAATAAAATCAACTACTCATAGGATACATCTACTAATAGAAACAAATCAAAATAAATTCTTACTTATAAAAAGTTGTTGATTGTTACAATTAAATAGCAGAGTCAATTTATTCTTTACAATTATTCAGGAAAATTTTATGAAAATACATAAATACAAAAGTTCATTAATTTGTTTTAAAAAAAATGTTCTAACAGAAATATTAAGTGGTATGTTCTTCTTAGCAGTGTAACGGACAATTTAGTTTAATTTTAATTATTAATAGAGAAAAATTACCAATAAATAATAATAATAAACAAAATATATTGAGTAGATTACCCACATTTAAATTTATGGATACAAATAAAAATATGGAGTTCGCTATTTGAAGGTAAAAATGTAAAAAAAGAATTGTTAGTTATAATCTTGGATTTCAGCTGATTTTGTCACTTCAATTAGAATAAGAGAAAAAAATTATAATGAAATCCTTAAACAACTATTTAATTTTACATTAAAAAAAAATCAATGTATTTGTAAAAATAAGTACTAAATAAATAAATTATATATTAATTATGAAAAAATATGAGAATATATTTAAAAAGCGATTGAAACTAAAACAACCATAAATTATGGATATGATAAAATAACTCTAGACAAATTTGAAATTACTAGTGTTAAAATTTAATTAAAATGTATTTAATTTAATAATTTTGGAGCTGATAATATTAATATGAATAATTTTAAATGAAAAGAATGGAATGAGCTTAAAAATAATTGTTATATAACTAACTTTATTTATTTTAAGTCAATTGAACCTGGTTAAATGAGTTATCTTATTAGTAAATGTAAAGAACACTCCTCCTTCTATGAAGTCTTTGATTAACTTTTTATTAAAAAAAAAAACAGCTATATTACTATCATTATTTATTATATTCAATAATTGTTTATCTATTAGAGAATTCCTAATGAATTGTTGAACGCGTACTATGTTTCTGCACTCAGCTGGGTATTCATTTTGAACAGTATCATCACACAAAAGAAATAACACAGTTTTTCGGAAAAGATGTTCTGTTTTATTAATATATGGAAAATTATCTGCATACAATTTAAACGATGTTTTGCACAAAATACACTACACTATACTAAAACCGTTTTAACACTACTGAAGGGCGTCCATCGGCAGGCCGGGTTTAGTGTTCATCCAAAAGGCTTGCCCGGTCTGCTCGTTGGGTGACCGATTCATGGAATTATTATACATAAAGAAAATTCTTATTCATAATCCATGTTCTTATATAGCAGGGGTTCCTAACATAAATATAAAAAAGCAATTGCTATAAATGCTATACCATTACAAAAAAAAAATCCTAACATTAAAAACTGTACTAACTATAAACCAATAATATTCATGTTAATTCTAAACTACTTGAAAAATAACAATGACAAAATTTTTGAATAAAAATAAATTCTTTAGTAAAAATAATTTTAGATTTAGAAACAATATATTTACTACAGATCCACTTTACTATTAAAAAAAAAACTATATCAGATCAATTAAATCCAAGAAAATAAATAGTTGCTATGTTTAAAAAAAAACCATTTGACATTTTTGACCATGATATATTAATCAAAACTCTAGAATACTGTGGAGTCAGAGGTGTCAAAACTAAATTAAGTTTTTTCAAGACATATCTCAAAAATAGTATCAAATGATTAAAATCATTAATATATTTAGTAATGAGTTACCTATAAAATATTCTGTTCCTCAGGATACAGCACTGGGTTCATTACTATTTATTATTTACACTAGGACTTCTTAACTGAAGTATTGATGGATGCAAATAATATAACTTTTGTGTTTAGTGGTGACTATTTAAATAATATTGAGAACAAAATAATTATTGACCTGAACAATATTAAATCCTGATTGGATAATAATTTTCTTCAAATTAATTTTGATAAATCCTCATTTTTGCAATTTAAAATTAATAGTTTTCATAATCTGAAGTTTGATAAATTAATATATTTTATACGCTTGATACTATAGGTAAATTGTTATTGTTCTGCTATTAAAGAGGCAAACTCAAATATTTAGACATGTATCTTGACGACTGTTTAAAATTGAATTTACATATTGATAAAGTAATAAATATATACCTAAGAAATTAAATTTTTCTAAGTTTTTAAAACTCTGAAAATGTTTTCTCTGTAATAAGTACAAAATTACAGTATACAAAGCTTAAATATAATCTACTTATAGACTCAGTCACGTATGGTATTGCCCTCTAGAGTTCTGCTAATAAAACACAACATTAAATTAGAGACCACATTAAATTCATTAATTAAGTACTTATTCAGCAAAACACGTTTTCACTCTATTATTTTACTATATAAACTATTAAAAATATTTAATTTTACTCACCTTAAATTATTAATTGTTTGTACACTATTATTTAAGTATAAAAATACTATTACTTCAACATAATATTAATACAAGATTTATAAATAATTGTAATATAAATATTCTTAAATTAAGAACAACTATTGCACAATCAAGACTGTACTATGTTTTTATTAATTTTTATGTCAAATTTTAAATTAATCCTCAAGATGTTTATAAACCCATCAGTTTTAAGAAACATATTGTTGATATCATTGTAAATAAATTGTGAACATAATTCATAATATAAGATTAATTTTACATTATTTTATTGTAGGTATATATTTTATCAATTCGCTTTACTATAATTATAAAATGTTATTTCTTTGAATGTAAATTCAATTTCCATGCATGTAATAGAAATTTGATTAATGATTATAATTCTCATCTCCGCACAGCCATTGGCTTGGGGATTACCAACTCTTTTTAGTAGAAATTGTATTTTTTGTTATTCAATAAATTAATAAATAAAAGTGGTATCTATATTTTTCACTTTTCATTTTTTCGTGGAAAAAAATTTAGATGAGAAATGAAAAGTGCAAAATGATAAGTTAAAAAATCAGTTGGTGAAACTTATAGTCTGCAAATTTTTTCCTTGCTTATAGTACCAACAAATTTTAATTTTAATTTTTCACTAATTAAAAAATGATAATAATTAACAACAGTTTGTAATTAATACACTTTATGATAAGAATGCTATTTGTTCAACTATAAAAGTTAAAAAAAAAAATTGATTTCTGCATAAAAATACATTGAAAATATAAATTGTAATGTAATAGGAGGATTCTTAACATTTTTCATACTCCATTAAAAACATATTAAAATTAAATACCTAATCCTGATATGTTATTATAAGTTTAAATACTTACAAAATTCATCAAATTCACGATATGTAATTAATGTTGTACTCATTTTTGAAAGTAGTAAAAAATATTTAATATTTGATAATTTATTACTAAATTTCATATAAGCTTTTTGTTTAAGTGAAAATTATAAAAAAAAAATTATAGCATAATGCTATTATATATTTTTTATATGAAAATTTGAAGATATATATAATTTATATAATGCAATAAATAGAATCATATAATTTAATGTTTGTTATTAAATATTTAACTTCAATAAAAATAAACAGTAATTCCTAAAAAAAGGTATAACTTCTTAACATTTTCGATTAACTACGTAATATGTACAAAATAGTAGTTACCTATATAAAAATTACATTTTAAATTCTAAATGGTAACTTAATTATGCTTAGGAAAACACAATTATTAGCTTATTATTATTATTTTATAATTTTTCTTATAGGTAGGTACTAACAATCCCGGATCAAGAGCTTCAGGGGCCCAGGGGCCAATACATGATTGTGGGCTCCCCATCAATAAAAACAATTCTTTAAAATTATAAAATTATACAATAAAACAAATTTAAACATTTTTATTTAAGTATGATAACTAAAGAGCAGATTTTTAGGTTCTTAAAAGCTTAAAATATGATGCTAATATGTTCTAAAAAAACCCTAAAATATTCTCTAAATATTCTTTAAACTTGTAAATATGCAGATAATATGATTTGTTTTTTTTCCAAAATAATTCAATTAAAACAATAAATAACTTATGTGCCATTCCTTTTTGGAAACATATAAAATATTTAACTATAAAAAATACAAAACAGTTCATAGGTTTATGAATACAATGAAATATATTATATAAAAACAAAATAGTTTAATAAAAACAATACATAACTTGTATGGCCTTTAGTAACAGCTAAGTTATTTAACTAGAAAATATAAATCAGTTCATACTTAGTTACCTTTATAAATATAATGAAATATTAATAAAAAAACAAATAAAATTAATAAAAACAAAATTAGTTCATACTTAGTTACCTACTAAACTATATCACCATCAGTCGTAAATACTGTATCATTTGTTTTATTA